TACTTAAAAAATTTTTTTCAGTGTTTGTTTATTTTTAAGAGAGAGAGAGAGAGAGACAGAGACAGAGACAGAGACGAGACAGAGTATGAGTGGGGAGGGGCAGAGAGAGAGGGAGACACAGAATCTGAAGCAGGCCCTATCTAGGCTTGGAACTGTCAGCACAGAGCCCAATGTGGCGGGGCTTGAACTCGTGAACCACAAGGTCATGACCTGAGCTGAAGTTGGATACTTAACCAACTGAGCCACCCAGGAGCCCCTAGTTGCCCATATTTTAAAAATCAAGAGATCTTACAACTGGCTTTTTAATATTTGGAATATTGGGATGAATTTGGTACACATCGGCCCAGAGTAAAAATCAACTCAAGTCCCATAGTAATTGTCCCTTAGATGGGGGATTCTTCTCTCTGGTTTGCCTCAGTCCCCACCACTCTCTGTTGCCCCACCCTGAGACCACATTTCAGTTACTATAGATCTTCTCAAATGCAATTACTTCCCCCTCACCCACCACAGAATTAAGAGGACAGGGAAATCCCTGTTCCAAATGTTATATTACCTGCTTCATCTGCATGGACATTTAGATTTGTTACTCCTTAATCTTACCTGGGGCTTTCATTTCAGAATTGGATAAACTGAGGCTCAAGGGAGGAAAATAACATGTACAATTCACAGAACTGTTAGCGACAGAAATGTGATGAGTCCTTGGGGTTCCTTGCTACCAGGCCAGTGGTCTTTCCATTATGTAAATATATCACTTTGACTGTGTCTCAGACTTCAAGAGGTCTTAATGAGAGAATCATGCATTGAACGTGTTCTCATTCAAATGCACATGCTGCCATTGAAAACACGCAGCAAGTTGGGGCCCTACTTTGTGAATGCCTTGCGTGCTTTCCAGATAATGAGTCAGGCATTCGTTCTGCTTTCTGAGTGTGGGTGTCTCTACATAGGTCGATTGTTTTTTTTTTTTTTTTTTTTTTTTTTTTCATTCAAAACGTGTCCTTTGCTGTCTCTGAGTGTGTGCCTGTCTGATGTCTCCTGCACTCCTGCAGATGCTGCACAGGCATGCTGAGTGTTCCGGGACCTGACACTTCTGAATGGAAAAACCCATGTGTCTGGGCATTCTCACGAGCTAATGTTTGTAGCAGTAGCAACCTATCCACTGGAGCATGAATTAATGTTCTCTAGCAAATGCTCTGAGAAGAAACATGGCTAAGGTGAAGTAGGGCCTGCTGGGTTTAGGTATATAACCTCAGGCAAGTCATATAGTTTGTCTAGGCCTCAGTTTTCATCTATAAAGTGAGGATAACATGGGTGCCTGGGTTGGCTCAGTCGGTTAGGCATCCGCCTCTTGGTTTCGGTTCAGGTCATGATCTCACGGTTGTGAGATCGAGCCCCACATCGGGCTCTGTGCTATCAGCGCGGAGCCCACTTGGGATTTTCTCTCTCCCTCTCTCTCTGTCCCTCCCCACTCTCTCTCCCTCTCAAAATAAACTTTAAAAAATGAGGACAATAACAATGCCTACATCAATGAGCTCCTTTAAAGAGGAAAAAGTTAATTTTTCAAAATTGTGAGAACAGTGCTAGCATATAGTAAGTACTAAATATAAATGACATTCTGGTGAGTTATAGAAATGAAAAGTGGAAACATCCCTTCTCTCACTTGAGTGATGTGATCCTTCTTAACTCATGTAATCTTGCCAGGCCCGTTGTAAATAGTCAATACTTGTTGCTTTTAACATCATAATGACTTAGAGGAGTTTCAGAAAATTTAGATTCCAGTGATCCACTACAGACCTATAGAAGCAGAGAATCTACTTGTGAGGCCTCATAATCTTTTTTTTTTTTTTTTTTAAGCGGCCCATGTAATTCTGATGATTTAGCCAAGTTTGGAAACATTGATGTAGTTTCATTATCCTTGAATATCTTTGGTGGTGGAGAACTCATAACCTCTTAAAGCTCCCCATTCCACACTGCATAGTTATTTATATTGAGGTAACACCTATTTTCCTCTAGCTCTTACTTCTACCCTCTGGAGGCCACAGAGAACATTTCAAATCTCCTTTCCATATGACAACTCTTCAGATATTTGCAGACAGCTGTCATGTCCCTCCCAAGCATTCTCTTTTGGACAAAATAGTCACATTCTCTCATGGTTCTTAAAAAAGTGTGGATGAACTGACTCTTCTAATTTGATATTAGGGAAAACTGAGCTACAAGACCTCCAGTTATCCTTTGACACTAAAAGACCAGAAAAGTGAGGATGTCGAGACTCTGGGAGACAAGGGATCCTGAATGAGAGATGGGTATGCAGCTTTATTCCACAGGATGAATGCTGCCTACTGCATGTGTCTTCTCATGCAGGAGATCAGAGGTTCCTGAAAATTCCTTGAACATTTGCTATATTCATACACAAAGAAAAATCTTGGCTTCAGATTTTCATCCAGGTCCATCTAGGTGGTAGTTCTACAGGTGTACACATAGCTAATAATTCACTGTGATTCATTCAAGTTCATGCATCTTACTGTATTTAATACTTCAAAAATGTAAAAAAAAAAAAAAAAAGTATAGCTGGGTCAAGTTGCATGAAGACTGCAACAAATTTTCTCCAAAGAATTCACCTAAAAACATATCTTAGATTCATCTAGTTCCATCTTGATTCAAATTCTCACTTCTCCCACTAAGCCCACAGAATGCCTGGGTGGGATTCCAATTCCTTGTGCAAACTGTGGGTGTAGGACATGATGTTGGAGAAAAGAGAAACCATCAGTTGAGAAATTCTGAGCAAGGATTCAGGGATTTTAGGCCCTAACAGGGGAAGCCAAAATTGGTGTTTAATTCTGCATTCCAAGGTTAGTTCCAAGAGGCAGAAGAATCAGAAATAACTGAAGCATGGTCTACATATGTACCTTGTTTGACTCAGATTTTTTATGCCATCCCTAGAACCATGTATACATCAAAACATCCACCAAATCACAACTTTACAAAAGATAACTCAATTCTTTGTTGTCAATATAGGAAAGGGAACTATGGAACTTCCCTAAGGTAAATGACTTCACCATATCTGATCACCAATGATCACAAACTTTAGATTTTTGTCAATGTTTGGGAAATAATTATTCTAAAATTTCCATCAGTACCCTGGATAAAATAAGAGCTTTGGATAGTGCTAATTCATGACTACCTATTCCAAACTAATCATTTCCCAGATTAATAATTGAGGGTTGGAGTAGGTAAATGTCTTAGCCAAGGTCACATGCATAGTTTGCAGCATTACCCAGGTCTTCTGGCTTCAAGTACAATGATCTTTGTTGCATTTAAAGTAGTCTTTTCCTACCTGGGATTCCCACCAGTTGCAAATTTGTGTTGGAAACAGAATCAATGGTAGTAGTGCTACAGTCAGGAGAGCAGTTGTTCAGAGTGTGAGGACATGGGAAGAAGGCCAGGGAATGATGCAATATTACACTAGCAAGTGATGTCATAGCATGATTTCCTAAGAGATTTACATAAATGCAAGTTCTCAAAAAGCCCTGACAAATGCCAGCCAGTGGGAATGCAGGCATGGAGAACCAATGGCAAACAAGGGAGGGGAACATACAGGAAACCCAGATTTCCTTGCTCGTCACTGTGACAAGCTTCACAGATTCCTCAGAAGCCTGAGAAAATTCCCTTTTGCCCCTCTAATCCAGTGCCTTCCCTCAGGCACATAAGCTCCACAGAGCTTTGATTTTCTTCTCTATTTTCCTATTTGCTACCACTGACATTCAGGCATTTCCCAGTGATGCTGAGAGTGACTCTTCATGTAGTGAAAGTGAGTTTAATCATCAGTCAGGCTACCCAAGAGCTTGACATTCTAAAAATTGGTCTGTCCTCTTCGTTATAATTTGGAGCAAAAATCTTCAATTTTTTAAATTAGAAGTGTGTCTGTCCTCTTCGTTATAATTTGGAGCAAAAATCTTCAATTTTTTAAATTAGAAGCTGTGATTTTTGGAGAATCAATCTTATACAAATGTAATGGGAATATATTTGTTGAGTTTGGAGATGACTTAAGAAAGAAAACAGATGGATACCAAATACTAACACTTCAGTTTTGGTTTTTTTTGTTTTTTTTTTTTTTTAACATTTATTTATTTTTGAGACAGAGAGAGACAGAGCATGAACGGGGGAGGGGCAGAGAGAGAGGGAGACACAGAACTGGAAACAGGCTCCAGGCTCTGAGCCATCAGCCCAGAGCCCGACGCGGGGCTCGAACTCACGGACCGCGAGATCGTGACCTGGCTGAAGTCGGATGCTTAACCGACTGCGCCACCCAGGCGCCCCTTCAGTTTTGTTTTGATCCCAAACAGTGAAACATCTATTAGTAAGGAAGTTTTGTTAAAATGTGTGTGTGCATGTGCGTGTGTAAGGGTTCACATATGTTAAGTCTTGTTGGCAATGCAAGTTCGTGAAAATATCTACTTAGACCAAACTCATAAGAAACTGATAAGACTATGTTAGAAATAAGGAAATAGCTCAGAGTGTGCCAGCCTAGGTCACAGTTTCTCCCTCTCTCTCTCTTTCTCTCTCTCTCCCTTTCCCTCCCTCCAGTCCTCCCTCCCTTTTGCCCTCCCTTCCCCTCTCTCTTCCTTCCTCCTTCTCCCTCTCCCTCCTCCACTGAAAGGCAATTTAAGCAGAGCCAAAGACCCCATCTCAAGCCACAGATCAAAGCAGTTCACAATATGCTTAGGAATTTTAGATTTGAAGACTTTGCTCAACTGCAGAAGCTGCCTAGAGTGCCACAAAATCGCATCTCACGAAGCTTAAACCATAAACAATCAACAAGACCCAACCCCTTCATCCCACTCAGCATTTGTCTTGCTGGAAACAGTCTGGACATCTGCACATTCTCAGCAATAATTCAAACTATTCCTCTTTCCCCATCACTCCATCTCCCCCAACACCCGCTGGAATATCATAATATCAGAAACTGCATTATTTGGGGCCACTGAGAGGAATTTTGTAAATACCTTCTAGGCAGCAGGTCCTCCACAGCCCCGAATGGGTCATTACTTCTTCATTCTTCCTGCTGGTTTCATTATCACTTGTAGATTTAGTCCTGCACACACCTCTGGAATATAACCAGTAGTCCGTGCCCACTGCAATGGTCATTAAACTAAAAGCTGCGAAGGCTCCCACGGTGGTGATCAACATCTGGATACCTCTGTCACACATCCTCATAATTCTTCATGGTACTCTGGATGGCTGGGGGTTGGAGGGGTAGGTTCAATGCCAGAGGGGAAAATCACTCTGCAGCTGGGTAACCTAGGGCAGGCTCTTCCAAAAATTCGGGTCTCCTTTTGTCACCATCCACAGAGACTTTAGGAAACCTGGGATCTCCTGTCTGGAGCTCTCTCCGGTTCCCTGGGTCGCCTATGGCCCTTGGAAGGGTGCAGGCTCCAGGGGGTTGGTCCACATCACTGCTGCCTTCTGAGGATCCCTGGGTTCCTTTCATTCCTCAGGAGCTTGGTAAAGATGAGGGTCCGTGCAGGGCATGGCTCCGGAGCCTGGAGCTGCCAGCTTGGTTTGAGATGCGCCTGGCTCCTCACAGCCCCGGGAGACTCAAGGCAAAGAAATCCAGAGAGGTCTATGTGTGTGTGTGTGCGTGCGTGCGTGTGTGTGCGAGCGCGTGTGCTGGGGGTGAAGGCGGATGGCAAAAAATAGCACTGCTGGGAGGCGAGTCGCTGAGAAGAGTGTTCATTGCTTCCCCAGCCTCCCAGGAAAGCTCTCCGCCTGCTCCTGACACCCCCGCTCAAACTGGAGAAAAGACAGAGTCCTGGGGCGGGGGCCGGCCGGTTTCATCGGAGGGCAAAGGTCTGCGGTGCTGAAGGGACAGCTCCCGCCTGTTGCCCCGCCTCCGCCTCCCTAACGCCCAAGCTTTAGGTCCGTGGTGCTGAAGGGACAGCTCCCTGGCAGCCGCTGCTGTTGCACCCCCTGCCTTTCCAGCGTCGGGGCTAGATTGCTGGGGTGCCGGAGGGTCAGTTCTCCCTCCCGCCGCCCTTCCCCAGTCCCTTTCCAGGCCAGCCAGCCGGCTCGGCTGCCGGATCGATCCCACGCTCCGCGCAAAGTTTCCGGAGCCCAGGGCAGTCAGCGCCCCGGCTCGTCGGCGCTGCAGCACACCCTGTTCCTCCGCTCCCGGAAGGGTTAAGAAAAGGGGAAGGGGAAAGAAGCCCGCAGCGCACTCTGGCGCGCTCTCAGCTCCCACCCAGCGCGGCGTTTTCCCCCCACCAATGAGCCAGGCAAGTTTGCCTTTTGCTGCGGGCGCCGCTGGAGCCCATTGGGGAAGACCGAGTCTTCTTAAAGGGACCGGCAACTCCCGGCGACAGATCTATGTCTTACTCGGGCGGGTAAAAAGTGTGGTCACAGGCACATCTGTGTATAGTCTGTCTCAATTTGGCTCCCCAGAAAACAAACCAATATGTCTACCCTCCTTTCTCTGGAGCTCTCGTTTACACCGGAGACAACGTGCTCAGATCAGACCCGGAACTGTTCATATACATATGATCATGTATTCCTAAAAGACAGAAGGAACTGAACGTATATAGACTCTGTTGTACGCATATCACAGATTTGGGGCGATGGGGTGTGAGATATTGGTCTTTGATCTCATATACTTTAACATCTTTACATCTGTGGTGGTGGGGGTTGATGGATTCAAGGTGGGATAGTCAATAAAAATGTCAAATTCTTTCCAAAAGTCCCTGGAATGTTCATTTGTTTACATTTTTGTCTAAGTTAGACCATGAAGCAGGTGAAGTTAGGTCTGCTTTCCTTGTTAGTCCAAAGTGCAAATGCCATTGCACACTTGAAAGCTAGTGAGAGTCTCCCTTTAAAATAGTGTTGCAAATGATCAGCATTTGACCAGCTTTCTATTACTATTATTCTGGCATACACATGAACACAGAGTTGACTAATGACAGTCCACAGAAATGCCATTATTATTATTATTGTTATTATTATTATTTTCCTATGGCATGACGGGAGGCTGGGTGTTTGGAATTGAGGCTGCTTGGGTTGTTTCTGCAGTTTCTGAGATGTGACCACTACCAACTGTCATGTTTGAGTATTATTAAACTGGACAGAAATATAATGGAAGGTAATCACAAACACATATAGTCTCCTGGTGCCAAGTCAGGCTCTCTGTCTGAGAGCATCTATACAGACGACTGAGTAGCAGTAATGTATTGAAGAGTTCTCAGATGTAATCACAACTTCTTGGTTACTTTGCTACATTGGGGGGGGCAGTTTAAGGTCACTTGAAGACTTGATTCTTGGTGTTAGATAAACATACCTGTGCATACATGGATTTGAATATAAGGTCATGGTGTGATTGTGTTTAAATGTTAACCTGTGCTGTGTTCAATTTAGTTAGGAGTTCTGAATGCCTGGGAATTTGTGGCAGAAGAAAAGAATGCATGCAAATATATACATGTACCTGTAGACACTGTTGTGGGCCATGTAAATATGTTTGCTATAAATACATAGCTGTGTGGATGGGTGGGCACGCATGCTTGTGTATAGGCATAGCATATGTTTGTGCACCTATATGTATTTAATTCCATATGCATATGTCATGGTTCACAAATACTGTTTTATGGGCAGGAAGTAGAAATATGAAAAATCTGCCACATAACCAAAATGAAAAAGATAAACTTGGGCCCAGAACCATAGCTAGCTTTACTCCCAAAGAATGTAAGAGACAACAGAGGAAGGTCTCCAAGGCCTTCTATAAGTGACTTAATTTTTTTCTTAAAAAGGAAATTTGCTTCTTATTATAATGTTCTGCTTTGGCTTTTTTTTTTTTTTT